CCGCAGCTGCAGGCACTGGCTGCCCTGCTTTCCAGACCACTCTGACAGAGGGGATTTGGCCACAGCCATGGTAGAAGGGAGGCACGTTCTTGCTCCCTGGCAGGGGCACTTCTTCTTGTGGCTCACAGACACCGTGTCAAACTTTTCACCTGGGAGTGAGCCTCGCAGGGCTTTGCTCTGTCACTGCAAAACAACCTCAGAGGAGCTGTGCAAAACTGTCCCATCTGGAGAAGGATCTCTGGGTCACTGAAATGAGAGACTGACATAAGGAATATAATCCGTGGACGCTAGGGAGAGGAGTCTGGCTTGGGGCCAGGCCGCTGCAAGCTCTGCCTTGGTAGCTGCAGCAGGGACAAGCACATCAGCAAAAGGGTAGAGGATCAGCCCACTTCAGCTAATATTTGGGATGTTACTGTAAGCATCTCCGAGATCCCCAAACACAAACTTTTTCTTGGAACTAAGGAGAATCTGGCAATCCCACATTTCCAGCATTTCTGGGTGTGCTTATTTTTTTTAAGCAAAGTGAGAAGTGAAAATAGTCCTTACTGTCTTTTGAAATATAGTATAGCTATGTAAGAATGCAAATCTTTCAAGGCCATATCTCTCCTCACCCTGCCAAATGAAACACAATATAAAACTCCATTGTTTTACGTTTCCTGTGCCTTACGGCTTGAACCATGGATCCTCTTGGCTGAGGTCCATCCCAGAAATGATTTAATTTGGGAACATGCTTCACCTTTCTAAAAATAAGGAAAACTGAGAAGAAGAGCAAATAAGCTGTGTTGAATAAAGATCTAAAATGACTTCTCCAGGATCTCAAATTAAAGAAAATACGTTACCCAGGGAATGTATAAAATCAAATAATATAAGCCTGCCTCTATGCAGCAAACTCTTTCGTGGCATTTTAGTCCTGTTTCATAGTCTGGACCTTTTCCAAAGAGAGAGCAACAAATCATCAGTCATATCTTTCTTTTTTTTTCCCCTCAGACACTTACTAAGAACCAGGCACACACACAAAAGTAAAAGAATGTAGAAAACATCTACCCACTTCTGTTTGCTTCGCAGTGTTTTTAAAGCATTTGACTCAAACTGTTACCCAAAAGTGAAACGTCAGACTCCTGCAAAACCAGGCAGATTTTCCAAAATGGGGCAGAAATAAATCAGAGGACCCGTGACTTAATGAGACAAGATGTGCAATAGGTGCCTTTACCTGGAAAAAGAAGAGAAGCAGCAGGATATAGTAGCTGTGCCCTTCTCAGGTTGCAGGTCTGTACATGGGGAGGGTGTAGCTCAGTGGTAGAGCATTTGATGGAGATCAAGAGGTCCCCTGCTCAAAGCCAGGTGCCCCCTTCTTTGCTAGCTGAGATTAGCTCAGCTTGTTAGAGTGAGGTGCCGATAACACCAAGGTCATGTGTTCAATGCCTGTACAGGCCATTCCCTTAAGAGTTGGATGCAGATCCCTTCCAACTCAGACTAATCTGTGAAACGGGACCAAACCCCACATGACACTGGGAGTCCAGATAACCCCTTACACAAACCAAAGTCCCATGTTCCTACTGGGAGAACCTCACTGCAGCATGTGAAGGAGCACAAGAAAACCTGAGGTGGTACCACCAGCTGCAAGCCCTCTGATATCTGCAAACACACTGCCCATGAGGCTGTCAGAGTGATGCAGAATTGCAAGGATAATAGCACTCACAAAAGTAGGGTCTCTAAACGGCTCTGTAAATCTCCTGCAGCATGCAGCTGGTGCAAAGTGAAAAATAGGGTTGGGATTTTATTAGTCAGGGTAACAAGAAAAATCCCCAACAAACCCAGCCACGGGAAAATTTGGCTCAAGAAACTGAGTTGTGCTGAGAATGAAGGTGGGCACAGACCAATAGTAAAAATACTACAGCAGCAATTTCAATTTGTTAGGTAATAATACTGAGCCTCCTCAGTGACTTTGTGCAGCCCCTTGCAGGGGCAGTAGCTCTGCATCGCACAGACCACTCACTGCTGGCAGTGTTTGAGCACCTTGGGCTGCAGGGCTGGAATCTGGGGAACTGAAAAGACCCACTTCAGCTGCAGAAGGCTGGGACTTCTCCCTTCTTCACTCTGTCTAAAACATACCCTGAGCATGGCTCCCCAGGGTGGATAGTTACCATCTGTACTAAAATCTGGGTCTTGGCTGTAAATCAGGAATGCTCCTTGAAAGGTGGCTGCGTACCAGCGGTCTCTCCTCCCTCACCATCCATCTTCCTTTCCACATGCACTCAGCATCAAAGCTGCTGGGGGTTCAGGGAATGAAGCCATGCGGCCACCCTTGGCCCTCTGCCCCTCCTGGCTTGTTGCAGCTGGAGAGCAGGAGCCCAAATGCCATTAATCCTTGCGATTTCTTGAGAAAAGTGGAGAAATAGGGCTGCAATGAAAGAGAAAACTGTTGAACAGGGTGAGACTGCCAAAAGGCCTCCTGCAAGGTCCATTTACTAAAAGATATTAAGGTTATTAAGCCCAAGCTCAGATGGCATTGGTGGGTCACTACCCATCTTCCCTCTTGCATTTTAGAACTGTTTTCTGTCTCCTCTAGGAGGCCAGCCTTCTATTTCCAAGCACAATTTGTTTTCCGTCCCTACAGAGCCCCTCCAAGATGCCATTTGCGTCTCTGAGGGTCACATTCACCTCCCTCCTGTCTCCCTAACTGGTAATGGTCCTGCCATTGCAAAATGAGTGATGGGAAGCCCTGAGCATAGCACTTGACTCCCAGAAGCAGAGGCTGCAAGCCAGGCTCAGAGCCAGCCATTTGCTGCTTTTGGTGGCCATTAAAGCCTGTGGCAGTGGCTGCTTGAGTGGCAGGACTGGCTGCAATCACGAGAAGACCGTCAGAGGAATGGTAACTCTGGAGACTCCCAAGGAGGCAAGGTCTGGAGGAATGTCTCAACCTTATCCTGGGTACCAGCATGGGTTATTGTGCCCTGTCACACATGCTGCCTTTGATAGTTCACAAACTCGCTCAGTCATTTGGAGAAACAAAGGTTGTTACTGTTCTCCAGGAGCACAGCTGAGGTGTGCTCCCCCCTCTCTGCCTGCACCTTGCTCCCGCAGAGCAAGTAAATTCCCTTTCTTACAGGGACACAGCCTGGAATCACAGAGGGAACTCCATTCCCTGTGGGTCCATGGGCAAAGAAGCCACCAGGCAACAGGGTTCTGAAGGCAATGGGGCGCTAGGGCCAGTATCCCATCAGGGCAGCACAAGTTTTGGGGGTGCTGGGTGTGTCACCGCCTGGTGCAGCTGCGTGTCAGCAGAGGAGCTGACTGGGTTGGGAAACACTAAAGAGAGTGGGGATGTTGCTTCATTGTCTCAAGGCATAGTTCAAGCTTACAACACCCACGGTGTCACCAGAGGACTGGCGCTCTGAGGGCAGCTGGGATGGCGATGGTCATGTGCTGCTCTGCTGGTGCTCTCACCCTCCTCCATGCAAGGCAGAAGGTTGAACACTCGTTCAGTGTAGGCATGGGGAGTCCACATTGGGCAGTGGGCACAGAGAGTGACTCTGTGGAGGGGCTGGGGCAGTTTGGTGTGGGTGGAGGAGTTCACAACGCGCACGTACAGCTGCTGGCAAGGGGCCCAGGAGCTGGCAGCCAGCCTGAGGGGGAAAAGAATGGAGAGAAGCACCAAAATAAGCACAACCCAAGGGGGCCAGGCTGTGGAGGGGGCACTTATGGAGGCCCTTGGCTGCAGGGCAGCAAGGAGGGGAGCAAGGAAGGTCTATCATTGAGCAGCCTGATCCAAGAGATCCCATTTGTCATACATTAGGGGGTTGCCACGTGGAGCTGCTCCAATTTTGATCCATACTTGAGAGTTTTGGAGACTAGGCTCCTCAGCACACCTGCCCAGAGGTGACAGAGCTCTGTTGTGCTGAGTGAAGTATTTCTGTGGATTAACGACCCAAGGAGGAAGCAGGAAGCCGGGAGGAAGGTTCAAAGATTGATTTTCATTCTGGCAGCAAGTTAAGGGTGGGGAATATGAATGCTGCCTCTGAGGTCCTGGGATGCCCAGTATATGAACTGATGATCTGGAAAAAAAGATGAGCATTATACCAAACATTTTTGAAGAATGACTCAAAGCTATTGACCCTTGAGGAGATCAGAAGGGACTGAGTAAAATGCAAGTGTGGCAAACGGGCAGCACCACACATTTGCCAAGGTTTAACTGGGCACGTGCAAAGTCAGAAAACGAACTGGGTATAAGAATTACAAAGCTCCAGATGTTCTCCAGCAACTCAAGAAAGAATCTGGATGCCACACAAACCCTGATTCTGTGAGTAGCTGCAGGTTAAAAAAAAAAAAAAAGAAAGCACACATAAAATATTAGCATGCAGAAGGAAGAAGGGGAGAATAATATGGAAAATATGATAATGCTATTATGCAAATCACTAGCACGGCCTCTCTGGGAATACTGTCTGCAGCTCAAGTAAGCCTTTCTCAGAAAGGGCTGATTAAGGGCACGGCCAATTTTCGCTCACAAAGGGAGATCAAAACGATTGGGGTTGTTCACCTCGGGAAGGAAATGAACAAGAGCAGACTGGCACAGAGGGAGCCAGTGCAGAGCTTCTGGTTTTATCTTCCCGCTCAGTTCCGTCACTGTCGTATCTGGCGTATTTGCACCCAGACAAAGGAGGGGTAAAGGCTCCGCTCTCCTCACCTGGCAGCCCTCGCCCAGCCCTGCCCGGCGCCAAGCCCTGCCCAGCGCCCAGCCCTGCCCATCGGGCAGGGCTGGGCGCTGGGCAGGGCTGGGCGCCGGGCAGGGCTGGGCGCCGGTGCCGCCCGCCCTCGGTTCCCTCCCCGCCGCCAGGGGGAGGCAGCGCCGCGCAGCACGGGCGGCCCGGCCCCCGCGGGGCTTCGGGCTGCGATTGGCGCTGCGCGGGGGCCGCGGCCCCGGGAAGCGGAAGGCTTGGCCGCGGCGCCCTCCGTTAGAGAGGCGGTCCCGGCCCTTCCCGGGGCCCGGCACGGCGGCGGGCGGCGGTCGGTGCGTCCCCCGGCGGGAAGGGAAGAGCTGATTGGGACCGTCCCCCTCCGCCGCAGGTCGCCCGCCCGCGCCGCACGGTTGCCCCGATGGCCGCGTGGTCCCGCGGGGCGGTGCTGGCGCTGTACCGGGCCCTGCTGCGCCGCGGCCGCGCCCTGCGCTACACCGACCGCGACTTCTACCTGGCGGCCGTCCGCCGGGAGTTCCGCCGAAACCAGGGGCTGCGGCGCCCGGAGGACAAGGAGAGGCAGCTGGAGAAAGGGCAGGCGTTCCTGCGGAGCGGGCTCGGCGGCCTGGTTTAGAGACTCCCCTGTAGCAGCTCCCACTGCTGACCCCGCTTCCTTTTGCTTCCCCCTTCCTTTCAAAACAACCTCGCCGAGCAGAAGAGATGCTTAGCGTTCACTGCACGCTGCTGTCCTGAAGAAGTCTGGAAGGTGCTTCCACGGGTGCACCGGGAGGGCTCTCCTGTCCTCTTCACAAATGCATTAGGTCACAGGTAGGTCATTTGCAATGGTGTCACTGTGTTCTTCATGCTGCTGTTACAGCGAGCTTTGTGGAGGTGCGTTATCTTTTCTGCCTGGGGATCACGAGTGACTGTATTCCTGGTTCATCCAGGCAGGAACATTCCTCCTGAGACTGTAGCTTGGAGTTATGAAAGGGGCAGTTTTAAACCAGCCAAGTCAGGCAAGCAGGCAGGCTGAGAACCTTTGGAACTGACTCAGACCTCAAGTCATGTTGGAAGAGCTTCCTGGTGTTTTCACGTAGGTTCACTGGGAATCCACCTACAGGTGCAGTAGTGCCAAGGTGGGTTTTACAGAGTCAGTTAGGCTGGAAAAGACCTCTGAGACCATGAAGTCCAACCCGTGACTGCACACCACTACATCAACTAGACCATGGCACTCAGTGCCACATCCAGTCCTTCCTTAAACACCTCCAGGGATGGTGAGCCTGCCGCCTCCCTGGGCAGCCCATTCCATATGTCTGATCACCCTTCCTGATCACCCAGAAATTTATCCTGATGTCCAGCCTGAACCTTGCTTGCTGCAGCTTGAGGCTGTGTTGGCCAGAGAGACTCCTTAAATTTCAATCTCAAGGTTAGGTGAAAGGGGATTCAAAGAACACAAAGGTACACATGTAAGAAAATATTAGTGTTAATGTTACACATTACTTGTCTGAGAGTCAAACCCACCAGCCTTAATGGCAGGAATAAATGTCCCATGAAAGCAAGGGAGTTGTTCCCTTTATGGTGCGTTATGGTCTCCGCTGTTGTTTCTTGGGTGTTTTCGAAGTATCTGGGATCAGCCATTGCCCAGAAATCAATCTGAGACCACCTGTCAGCTCTTAGGAAGATTCTGATTTGTTGCAGACAAGCAGGTGACCATCCCTGTATCTCCCTGTGTGTGGGCAAAATTTCACTCAGAAAATTAGAAAACAAATTGGCCATGCCTTGCTTGAGAAGCCCAAACTAGAAGGAAAATATCTGAATGGTCATAGAGTTCTGCATAATATGCAGGATTATATTACAGAATATTGCAAAAGTGAGCCCTACTTGCTTTTATTAAACCCGCTTCAATGATTAGAAACCCCAGATCAAATTTGGATGTTTTCCTTCAGGTGATGAATGTTGCTGGAAGCAAAGAAATGCTGTCATTGCCGAGCTTGGTCACTACTGTCCTGGCGTGGCTGGGAACAAGCAGCTCCTTGGGGGAACATAATTAAAGAGGGTGCGGGGTTAGGTGGTCCCTTCCTGTGGCTCTGTGCGGAGACCCCAAGAGCCGTGGGTGTGAGGTGGGGGAGAAAAGAGCGAACTGTCAGGGTTGCATGTTTTGACCCCTCTGTTTAATGTTCCTGCTCCCTGCAGGTAAGATGGCAGGCGCTGGGCAGCGCAAAGGGAAAAAGGATGACAACGGGATCGGCACGGCCATCGACTTCGTGCTGTCCAACGCCCGGCTGGTGCTGGGCGTGGGCGGAGCAGCCATGCTGGGCATCGCCACACTGGCCGTCAAGCGGGTGAGCGGGCAGGGCAGGGCAGGGCAGCGCGCTGGGGACGGAGCACAGGGCACTGCGAGGAAGGAGTGGGGAATGCAAAGACATGGTACTGGGTAAAGTGCAAGCGTTGGGCCCTTAGAGACTCAAAACTATTCCTGGTGATGTTGGTTTAGATGTACGACCGGGCAATCAGTGCTCCCAGCAGCCCCACTCGCTTGAGCCAGTCGGGAAAGAGAAGCTGGGAAGAGCCAAACTGGCTGGGCTCCTCCTCGCGCTTGCTGACCCAGGACATGAAGACCAGCCTCAGCCGCTCCCTGCAGACTCTTCCCACTGATCCTTCAGCTGCTGAAGCAGGTAAGGAGTACAGTCATACTCCTGTGGTACAGAACCATCCAGGCCCGTAAATCCTGTATTTGTTTAAAGGAATACAGGAAAGAAAATACTCTGTCTGTCCCAGGATTTTGACACTTTTCTTTTAAGCAGCTCCTCTGGTAACTTCCAAGAATGAGAAGTCACACTAGGAACTAGTGAATAATAATCATCTATTTGCATTCTTCATTTCTCTCGTGACTTTGTGTTGTTAAGCTTTGCTCTCTCTCTGGTTTTTAATTTTTCAATCTGAATACTTTTCTGTGCAACCTTTCCTGATAAAAAGCCATTCCATTCCTTTCAAGCTCTTTGTTGCCTTTCTTTGGGTTATTCCAGTTTGTTTGTTTCTTTTTAAGGGGGAAATACTCCCACTGTGAATGTACTAGCAATTTATAAGAGCATTTCCTATATTATTTCTACCATTTTCCAAATAATTTTTGTAATAGCATTTTCCTGTTTACTGCTGCTCATCACTGAGTTGGTCTTCATCAGGCTATAGAAAGTGTCCTGCAGTCTCCTTTCTGAGTGGGATAATAAGAAATTTAGAGTCCAGCAGTGTTTGTTATATATTTGGTTGGTTTTACTTTCTATCCCTGGTCACTTCAAGAGATTTACACTTGGAGATTTAAACTAAAAATCAGAATCTAGCTTTTAGCTTAATTTTCAGATTCTCTGTGAGCAAGTCAGCTTCGGGATAGCAACAGATTTTCTGCTGAGGACACATTAAATAAGTGTTAAATGAGGCCTAGAAAATTTCATTGGAGTCCCCAAAGATAAGCATTGAAAAATAAAAACATTGATGGTGATGTCTTGCATTCTTAAATTAAAAGTAAAGTAAAATTCCTCATGGAAAAATAATTTTTTTCATGAACAGGCAATGAAATTCATTTCCCTATGGTTTTGTGGGCTGTTTCCTTTTCACAGGAAAGCTCAGATCTGTCCAACAGGACCCAGTGGGACAAGAGGCAGCAGCTGCTGAGGTTGGGCGAGATGGGTCTGTGTTCAGCTTGGTCAGCATTCCACATGTGATGTGTGGCCAAACACCCACTGCCAAACGAATCTGCAACAGCTGGTTGTCTTAATGGGGCCACTGACTTGGGGGTTTTCTTCTGCACCCTTTAAGTACCACAGCCCTTCCAAAAACCTCTTAGATCTGCAACTCCTCCTTAACTCTCATGATTAACTTCTGAAACTCTTGGTCCATACTAATAGAAATCTACAAGACAGATGGGAAGCATTGTCTTATTTCTCTGGGAAACTAGTCAGAAGAAAAGGGTCTTAGAACCTCTGTGCGGGTCGGACGTTGCTTAATAACGCAGACGGCAGCGTAAAGCCTCGTGTAGCTGTACTCTGCCTCAGAGTGGGCTCTTGGTTCTTCAGTCAGTGAAGGTTTGAGGGGGGTTTTCACTGGAGCTATGATTGCCTGAGCTAGGATGGCCCCGAGATCTGTCAGCTCATCATCCTGATAACTGCTGATCAGACTCCCAACAAATATTTAATTTCCAGGTGGCACGATCTTCTCTGATCTGATACCTTATCAGGACTGGCTTTTGCGGGTAATTTGTAATAGTCTCTTACAGTGTTAAAAACTCAATGAGATCGTGATGGTTGTTCAGGAGTGTTTTGTCCACTGGTCTGGCATCATATTAAAAGCTTCTGAACTGGTAGCAGCACTGAATTTTTTATGAAATTGAGCTGAGATACTGCCCACATGGCCATTAAAATTACTTCCTTGTACACAATATTAGTCTTATTCTGGTTAAATTCTAAATCTAGTGATTTGTTTTATCTGTTTTGATGCTTGTAGTACTAGCTTTTGATGTTTCTCAGCACCTCCCTTTTGACTGGTACCTGTGTAAAGCATGCAAAATGTCTTCTGAGAGCTTTTTGAGGCCTAGGAGGCTGCACTTCCACGCTGCAGATTTCCCTCTGCGGATCGCTTCACGGTGAAATACTGCAGATGATCAACAGTTTTCCTTCTGTCTTACAGACTTCTTTCAACCTACAAAGCCCAAGCCATCTGCCAGGAGGAGTCAAGTGGAGCTGAAAAAGGCCCGGCTTCGTCTGTCTCTGCAAGAAAAGCTCTTCGCCTATTACCGGAGGAAGGTGGCTATCCCAGCGGATGAGCAAGCCCGGGCCAAGCAGGCAGCCGTGGATATCTGTGCAGAGCTGCGCAGCTTCCTCCGTGCCAAGCTGCCAGACATGCCCCTGCGGGACATGTACCTCAGTGGCAGCCTCTACGATGACCTGCAGGTAATTCCTGGGCCCTGTGCTGGGTCCTTATTCAGAAGGCTGACTAAGCAGGAGCGTTTCAGGCTTCCCAGTTGGCAGTGCTGGCTCAGCATAGCATTTCTCAGTAATAAGGCCCCAGAATAAGGTCGCCTTTCCCGCTGTGGAGCCGGGCGTTGATTTCTGCGGTGTTGTTTGAACCAGCATGACCAGGCTGCTCTGGTGTTGTCTGCAAAGCCTTTGCTCTTTGCTGGTTTTGCTGTTTTATTTCTCACCACTTCTTTCCTTGTCTTCTACCTATCCTTTTAGCTGTGTTTTTCTTCCTGTTTCTCTGGTAGATCTCTGTTTTCTCTCTGTCCCTTCTGTATCTGCCCAAATACATGATATTCCCTTAGAACTCCTCTGTTATCATGTAGTTCTTCCCTAATCTTTTTTTTTTTTTTTAAATGCATGACAGACTGTACTGGCCAGCAGTCCCTCCTGCAATGTCTCCCTGATGGCAAGATGCCTGTAGCTATAGTGAGTGATTTAGAGGCACACTTCCTTGTATGAGTCAGAGCTCTGGAATGGAGTGTCAAGTGGCCAGTGAAACTTAAATCTGGGATCTTAATCACACTGGTGAAAAGGGATCTTTAATGACCTTTTTCCAAACAATGTGGCACACCAGGTGAGGGCAGTGTACCTAGTTGTAGCATGGCATCATTAAACCATGACAACCTAAGCTTGCCTAGAAACTTAATGCCTTCTGTTTTAAATTGTCATGTAGCGTTGCTGTGCCCTAGGCCAGCTGCATCTCACATCCAAGGAGCTGACTTAGGCAGCATATGAGGCAAAATGATTCATCTTAATGCAGTCCAAGTCAGGTTTTTAAATAGTACATACCACGTAAGCACTAGCTTGGGTTATATTATTATATTATCCCACTGATAGTCCAAAATAGTCCTTCAGAATGCCTTTTAACAAAGGGAGGATGTGAATCCCACACAGAGAGGAGAATGAGACAGCCGAATCCTTATTGGGTAGCCTTCAGACAGAAGGCTACCAAAACACGGTGTATAAAATGAGTGTGGAGAGAGAAAGCTTGTTCTTACCGACTTTTCTGTCTTGTGAAAGGTAGTGACAGCTGACCACATCCAGCTCATTGTGCCTCTGATGCTGGAGCAGAACCTGTGGTCGTGTATCCCTGGGGAGGACACCATCATGAACATTCCTGGCTTCTACTTGGTGCGTCGAGAAAACCCAGAGTACTTTCCCCGTGGGAGCAGCTACTGGGACCGCTGTGTGGTAGGAGGTTACCTTTCCCCCAAAACTGTAGCAGACACCTTTGAGAAAGTTGTAGCTGGCTCCATCAACTGGCCAGCAATTGGGAGTCTCTTGGACTATGTGATCCGTCCAGCAGCTCCCCCAGCAGATTTGACACTGGAAGTTCAATATGATCCAGATCGTCATCTTTTCATTGACTTTCTACCATCCCTGACGCTGGGTGACATCGTCCTTGTTGCCAAACCTCACCGATTGGCCCAGAATGACAATTTGTGGCGACTGAGCCTGCGGCCAGCAGAAACGGCTCGCCTCCGGGCCCTGGACCAGGGGGATTCTGGTTGCCGTTGCTTGTGCCTGAAGATCTTCAAAGCAGTATGCAAGTTAAACCCAGCTCTGGGTCACCTCACTGCCAGCCAGCTCACCAATGTCATCCTGCACCTATCCCAGGAGGAGTCTGACTGGTCCCAGGACATGCTGGCTGATCGCTTCTTGCAGGCACTGAAGGGGTTGATCCGCTACTTGGAGGCAGGTGTCCTCCCCAGTGCTCTGAACCCCAAGGTGAACTTGTTTTCAGAGCTCACCCCTGAAGAAGTGGATGAGTTGGGCTACACCCTCTACAGCTCTCTGTCAGAGCCAGAGGTCTTGCTGCAGACGTAATGGGGCCTTACCTAGGGAAGTGTTGATAGGGTTTAGCCAATGCAGACTTTGATTACTGCAAATTATGTCTCCTCCACTTCTCCCTATCTTCCTTTCTCTCCACCGCTCCCTCCTTTTGGTTCATTAGTAATTCCTGCTGTGGAGTTGGTGCTCCCACTGAATTTCTTGGTGCTACTGGTCCATTTCCACCATCTCTGCCCCAACAGGTACCCATTGGCTAGGAAAAAGGCTAAAACTGCAGCTATAAGATCCTCACGTAAATTCTGCTGAAGTGTCTACCAAAAAATAAACCAAACTATGCACTTCTTTCTTCTGTAGTACACTTACTGCAGCGAGTCCATTTTGGTCTGAAGAAGGTGGAACTGGGCTGGTAAATCCAATGACAATTTTAGCAGTCTTGCATTGAGGTCATTCAATTTCCTCCAGTGTGACTTTGCCCCATCTTTCTTTTTCTCTGCTATCCCACACTGCCTCACTTTCCTTTCTTTTTTGTCCCTTTGACCCAGTTATGCAGGGCAGACTGAGTGAGATGTTTGGATAGGGTTGTGTTTTGTATTTCTGAGTGGATAATAATTAAACTGGCAGTATTTAGGGCTGTAGAGCTTGGAACAGAATTCCCACAGCTCCTGCTCCTAGCGAGCCTTCTCATCCTTTGCAAGGTGGGTTCAGGATTAAGGGCCAAGGCTTGTCCAGTCTGCTGCAACACAACCTCCAGTATGGGCAATTCTCATCAAAGCTGTCATAGGGGAGGAAGAAACCTTTGTGGTCTGGCTGTGTGATGAGGCCAAAGGAGCAGGACTTGCCATTCCTGCCTAGCCTGATCTGCTGGTAATGGCCTCGGGAGTGGAGAACAAGGCAGCTCCTTAGTTGTCTCTGACGTAGAGGAAGAGAGGGTGGGTTTTGGCAGAGAGGTGGGAGAGACACATGGGAATGGGGATTGGGTTTTTTCATCTTTTCCTCAGGAGCTTGTGGCTGTTCTGGTTTACAGGAGGTGGAAACAAGACTGCATGCCTCAAAGGGCTTTGTGATAAGCACACACAAGCCAGATTCTCACCAGCCGTAAGTCTGTGAAGGTGATAGAACTGAACTGATGTCATCAGCAAGGTTTTGTCCCTTACACTGGTACTAGGGTATATATACAGAGCTGGCACTTAGAGATGTATTAGCTTTGCCCTCTGCTCTGTGTGTGTTTTAGACTCCTCCCCAGAACAGTGGCTGTCCATCCCCTTCCTCATTCCCATGTGCTGACTTACCAGTGCTCCCAATTCACAAATACTCTTAGAAAGCTGGTGAGGGCACACCTTCTGCCCACTCCTGTTTATGGCTGCTGTCAGGCCGTAGACTCTGTATACTCTGCTTTAAGCCATCCGGCCTGCTGTCTGCAAAAAGGGGGAGAGAGGGTGTCCCCCCGAGTCTGGGGCCCTGTGTGTGTCTCAAAAGACCAGCATAGCTATTGTTACAGAAACATACTTGCCTTTTCCCAACTTTATCAGCTTTTTTCCCCCCTTGCTGTCCAGCCTCCTTAGCCAATGGAGAGGGCTACTGCAACATTAGGGCTTGGAGGGAGCAGGAATCCCTTTATCCTTTTCTCCTCCCTTCTTCTCAGGACTTCCCCCCTTCTATGACAGAGAAGTTTCAAGGTGAATTTCAGGAGCTGAACCACAGAGGGAAGTCTTTTGCCCTTGTTGTTTTATTTTTTTTTTTTTAGAGGCAGTGCTGGTGAGAGGAGGGAGGGAGCATCTTTCTCGGACAATCCGTCCATTTTAGCCAATGTGTGAGATACTATTCTGTAAACAGTGATAACACAACATTGCATTTTAAATTATTTAATCCTTAGGGTACTGGTATTTTCTAGACTGCCAGATGTGTACTTTGAAGTTTGTGTGTGTATATAAAGTCTATAGTCTATCAAAGGTTAACAGAAATTCCATTTGTATGACTATGTGTTTTGTAAGTTTTGCAGCAGTCAGTGTTGGTCAACTGTTGATTGCTCTTCACTCTGGTTCCCAGATTTTTTCCCTCTTCCTTTCCTTGCCCTCCACTGCCTTTCTGATGTCAGCCTTCCTACCCTAAAAGCAGACAGATGAGACTTGGAGCTTATAGGCTATTGGGGGAAATTCCCCTTTTTTAATTACTTGAAGGTCGACAAAAATATTAAAATATCTGGGTTGTCAGGAGTTCCCCCAAAGTTCATTTCTTCAGCATGATGTCACTGCTCACTTGGTGCTGATTCCATAACCATAGTCTTCACACAGAATTGAGCAGCAGTGTGGTTGGAAATGATCAAAACTCTAGATAAAAAAAAAAAAAGTCAGATATAAACAGGAGGACACCATGTCTGAGCTGGCTTGAGAACAGTTCTCACATACATATCTGTACATAGAACTTTTTACATGAAAGCTATTACTTCTTCCTGGCAACCTAATGAATTAATATTTTATGGCCATTTTTTGCTGCTATTGAGCTCAATTTGTGTATCAAATCGAGACTGAAGCTGCCTTTTTGCCTTTTCTGTAGACTCTACTCAACTTCACTTGAATTCAATTACTTCCATCATTCTTCCCTTCATTTTGCCCTCCTCTGAGCTATCCACAAGCCTGTTCTCAGGAGGCAAACGCTCCCTTCCCCACACGCAGCCACCACAGCAGGCAAGAGCTGCCTTGGCAGTGACAGTCTCAACAAAGGCCAAAGACGTGATGGGTCACAGGGACACTGCAACTAGGAATCTTTTAAAAGCAGGGTCAGGCAGTAAGGGGCGGGGCAGAACATGTAGGGTAAGAATGCAGGAAATTTACAGTAATGCTGTACCCAGCCTGTGGGTCAAACAGAATGTTGCAGAGTCTAACTGGCACCTTTCAGTATTAATGCAGTGCATGTGTTTATGTACAGCCTGGGGGGACTGTCTTATCTATAAGTAGGCTCCTTCCTAGTCAAATCTGTAGCACAGAGCAGGAGAACCTAAAGCTGAATGTAAAAAGGGCAGCTCCAGGCCACCTTCCTGGCAGAGTGGCTCAGAGACAGACTGATTGTAAGAGACTCAGGGCATGTGTTGGGCTGGTTGCTGCCTGGGCTCCAAGAATGTCTTGGTGTGTTCTGCTATAGCTTAGCTCACACAAGCTTCCTGTGAGATTGTCGTCTTATTCCCTGTAACCACAGGATGAGGACCAACTTGCTCAGCTGTGGGGTTTCACTGTTGCTGAGCTCCACTGCTAATCCTTCAAGTCAAATGGATTTATTTTCCCCTGTTTAAAAGCAATTATGGAAACAGGAGGCTGCTTTCTGCCCTTCTGGAGAGGTACCATCAGGGCCCTCACTCTTAGTGTGTGGGCAACTTGCAGTGAGAAATGAAGAGATGATGCCCCATCTCTCCCAGGCCTGGAGGCTGTGGATTTGCAAAGGGGAAAGTTCAAGTGCATGGTCTCTGACAGAGTGTGTGGAATTCTGAAATAAAATGACTTTCCACAGTAACCTGATTGTCTCTGGTGTGTTTATAAACAAAGGAGCATCTCTCTCTGCTTTCATCTCTGCGCATCACCTTCATGCTGATATGATTCTGCACCTCACCGGTGCTTGGGGACTGACATGCCCCTTGCCAATTCACTTGCTTTCCCTTTGCAGCTCTGGGCATTCAGCGCTTTGCAGCTTGTCCTGAGGGAGCAATCAGCTCGGTACTGCAGCATCCTGGCTCCTGGCAGCGTTCGCACCAGTCACAAGATGATGTGCAATTACGGCGCTGCGCCTCCCATCCTTTCCCTGATAGCCCGCGTGCCCAGGCAGGCACCTGCTTTTCATGTGGCTGCCCAGACTTCAGAGGCTTCCGTGCCTCTGTAATATTAAACTTTCCTGTGCAGACTCCCCCGCCCTTGTTGAAGTCACACCTTGTTTTTTATGTGCCAGTCCTCTGTCCTGCCAAGTGCACTCCTCTTTTATCCAGGCATCAGCCTTGAGGCAGTGAGGAAACCTCTTTGCCAGGGGCCTGTGTCTGGTGTATTGAAGCTCTTTGCAGTAAAACTCAGTGCCTGCTTGGGAAGGTGTGGCAGAAATGTTGGACATCAAATAAAGCATGAAGTGACGCTGCTTTTAATGGGTCCCAGGCTCCTTAATTCTGGGCAGATAAGCTACAGTGACAACATTGTCCTGTGAGACTTGTTTTAATGAGGACTCTAATTAAAATTTAACTACTCCGGAAGATATTTTATGATACAAAGGGAACCTACAGTTCTTTTTTTTCCTGATACCCCTTGCTTGTGTTGTTTTGTTTTTTTTTCTTTAATCTGTCCTGTTGTAGAAACAGATCAGGTGAGATCAAGCACATTTCATGCCATACAGTCTCTTACAGGAACATCTAAAATCAGCTGCCTGTGGAATCTGTGATAGGTATTAGCCCCTCAAGTCAAAGCCCCTGGAATGCCTAGAGCCTACAATACATGCCTAATATATGCAGCAGTTTGCATCTTTGCATACAAGCTGTCCTGGCATGAATAGGGAGGAAAGATCAAAAGATAAGTGTTTGATTGATGGAGAAGAGAAATAATTGAGGGGAGTGATGATGATTACTTCAAGTATGGAAAAAGTTGCCACAAAGAAGAAGAGCATAAACAGAACTCCAGGCTGCAAAGACTCGGAATCTCTTTTGTTCTTAGCCTAAGGAACAAAGGGTTGAGGAGGAAAGTGAATTTTGGAAAAAGCAAAATATTTTTCCTGCTTTGTTATATAAACACAGTCCTGTCCTGGATATTAATGAAGCTGAGCTTACATTTTACGTATTTATTTTTGCATCTCTTAATTTTAAAAATAAATAAATAAATTCCAGCCTGCCTATTTTGTAGCTAATCGTAAGCTGGGGAGGAAAGGATGACTGAACCTCAAATTTGAGATTATCCTGCTAAACTGTTGAACTGTATGATGAATGTCTCTCTTTTTTTTTCCTAAATACTTAATCGCATCCATGTCTTTTTAAGCTTTATTTTAAGATTTTAAACTCCAGAAAAGCTGCAGACAGCTGCTGTTTTTTAAATTTAGTCTCATGGAAAAAAAGAAGAGCCTCTCCTAAATGAGGAGTTTCTCTTTCAGATAAGATAAAATATGTTTGCCCGCTACCTGCACTAGGTATGATTCAGTGGCTCCAGCGTGGCTCACTGAATCTGGGACTGGATTTTGAAATGCTGGGCTTTGCCCACAGATGAAGCAAGCAAGAAATGGGAAATTCTCCCTCCTTTCAGTGAAACCCAGTATTGGCTTCCAGCCCTAGGAGAACTGCTGAAGTCTAGACACTTGGGGAGCTGTTTGAGGTATCTGGATTTTGTCTTCTTTATCCTTGTCAGGCTCAGTTATGATCTGAATTTATGATCTAAGGGATTCAAGAAATGTCCTCCCTCTCAGTTTTTTCTTTTTTTTTAGATACAACACCTTCTTAAAATAGCTGTCATTTAACAAGTGTGTCCCCTACACAGTCAGGGATAGCACAGTCTAAAATTTTTACTAGCATACTCTGAGAAGGAGAGCATTATTCACAAGTCACAGAGGCAGAAATGTGGTGGTGAGCAGGCTATTCATACCTTTACAGTATGTGATCCAATGGAATAATCTTGCAAATAGATAAGGCAAAAGAGGACGATGAGACCAAAGGCAGGGAATATCTGAAATCATTCTGTAGATAGAAAGCCTTCTTGTCATTTTACAAAGAGCAGGAGAGTGGGAGACAAACTTCTCATGATCTCAAGCTCTCCTAAGTCCTTACGCAGAATTCAGTTCTAAACAAAATCACATTAAACACACTAAAAGCCAGATTGATTTTTATTTTGCTTCCCCGGTTCAATTTCCCTGGCTCCTGTGGCTAAGTAGCTCTTTTGATCTGTCTATTAACACTCAGTGCTAAGCTTCTCAGGGGAAATATATACACATTCTTCATGAAAAGCCTTCTCCATACAAATAATGGGCAAAAGTTGCTTGCTTGTGTTTTTGGTTTTGTTTCAGATTTTATTTTTTTAGGTAACAGTTGCTTCAGTTCAGTGCAAGTCCACCCCTTCCCCTGCCTCTCACTGTGGTAGAATTGTCACTGTTCCACAGAAGCATGGGGTGATATAGTGCCCCATAAGACATCCCACTACAATGATCCCAGTTCTGTAAGACTCTCCTCTCCACTCAGCATTACAAAGGACAGGACTAACACACAACAGACATGAGGGCGTAGATTGCAAATGATGGACTGTGTAGGCTCTTTACCTGTCCCATGACAGACGTTACTTCAAAACCCATAATGCCCTGGCGGGCTCCTTACCCCCTTTGAAAGGCAAGAAGCAATCATTCCTGGAAGCAGTATGGCAGAAAGACATTTTTGCCTTCAAAGTCTTGAATTTATTTAGCACAGAGTATTGTTATGTATGGCCTTGGAGACAATAACTACTGCCACTTACCTGATAATATAATGTGAGTCACGTTCAGCTGCTGATTGTTTACAGCAGCAGTGATACACTGTCAGAGCGTCTGAGATACACTGAAGCAAAGGTAGTACAAGACACAGTAGTCCCACAGGCTGCAGAGCTGCCTCTCCCACGTTGCTTGTTAGAGAGCAGGCTGGCAGGGGCCCAGCTCTCTGGCATTCTCAGGGAGGGTGGTTTTTTCTGAAGTAAGAGTGCCAGTAAGGCACAGACTTCTTTTCCAAATCTCTGCCTGTGGTCATGAGAGAGACAGTAGAAAGCATCTAGTCCAGTGTCTTTTCTTGAACAATGGGCTAGTGTTTTGGGTTAGAAATATTTCTCCTCTCTCTTTTTTTTTTTTTTAATTATTTTTTAATATATATTTAATTTTGTAGTTTCTTTCTTATGTTAAAAAAAAATTAATAAAGTGTGATCTCCATCACTTTGCACTGCAAAGGAGGGTACTTGGTGTCACCAGCAGACTGGTGGCTTCCAAGCTTTGTGTCCTGGGACAGACCTACCCTTTTGTGGTCAGACAGAGCCTATCTGAGACCTGTGTTTCTGATAAGTGCATCCAAATCAGCCTCACCAAAACTCTGTGACTAAGGTGAATGGCTCAAACGTTACCTTCCTGAATAGCACCTGCATTGCCTCAGAGCCAGAGGAGATGTGTCCCATCGCTGCAATGCCAGGACAAGGCCTCAACAAAGTCCCACCCTGTGAGTGCCGAAAGAGCAGGCCAGCAGTACCAGCCCTTATCCAGCAGAGCTCATTTACTGTGGATGGTTCCTCAGACAGATCAGACAGATCTGGGGTTAGTCTCAAACCAGTTCTCTCAGTAGTCAAGCACAGAAACCTCCTCCTGTCATGGAGCTGCAAACCTCCCTCACCAAGCACCACAGTAACAGCAGTAAGAGGGCCAGTGGGTTAAGAAGCCACAGCACCTACTCAATATGATACTTTGGCTGCAAAGTCCCTTTGGGGACCATTATCCAGCTTGCCCATGGCCAGCTGCCATGTACTGCATCTGAGGATGCTCAACTGAGGCCACCCACAAACCCACGTATGAGTGCAGGGAGGAGAACAGTCTCAGAGTCTTCTGAAAGAATATTCCTTCTGCCAATGTTTGCCAAATCCTCTAACACAGAGAGCTTAGGAGGAAAAATTACATTCCTTCAGGAAAAAGCTATAAACTCAACGGTGTCACAACTGTGTCAAGATCCGCCATGAATTTGTCTCTCCCCCTTTGTAAACAAGTATATATTAAACCAGAACAAAGTCTTCTGGTAAATCACTGAGCAGCTGTTGCCTATGAAGAGTGGAAAATTATTACTGAATAATGGTTGCAGTGTTCATCCCCAGGGACTTTGGCAGCTACAGCCTCAACAGTGATTTATCCCCAAAAGAGTTTCAGAGCTTCATCTGAACTATCTAGTTTATCAAATTTCTTGCTGAAGCTGCCTGCCAGCATCAGAATAAAAGAGACCTCATGCACACCCCAAAGATCCCCAGAACTCTGTCTTACTTCACTGATAGAGTATACCCACTCACAGTCTCTCTTCCTGGCCTCATCAAAACACTCTGAAGTGACGTGAAGTTAAAAACAAATGCCCAGATGGGCCACACAGAGCATAGTCTGGTATTATCAGCCTTTGATTGTGTGGCTCCCCCTCACTGAACATAGAGGATGAAATAGCTCAAATAACTTTTACAGATGAAGCTGCCAGTTTAGAGGCCAGGTTCAGGAGTGCAACTGCCATTGGGCTGATACAAAAAGGAGTCCTCATGCTGTCAAGTCTAAGGGGCATTGACACAGTGAAAGAGAAACCCACTGAAGTGATGATGGGCTGTTAACTCACCCACTGGTGCCTGTGGCTGGCAGTCTCACAGTCCAAACCTGCTTGTCAGGCCTCAGCTCTTGCTAGCTTCACACTGCTAGAAAAGAATCATCGTGCATTGTCACTCTCCTCTTCATCCTTTTGCACAAAATGGCACAAGACACCTGACACATGTGACTCCAGCAGGTGTTGGTAACTTACAGATACATACATTCTGATATGCACTGAGCACACAGTTTGCAGGGATCTCACATCAACTACAGACCCATGAAGAACAATAGTTGCCATAAAATATGTTTCTATTCTTTTATTGCTTGGATAACTGGAAGGCTTTTGTGTCTGTGCTAAACTGAGCCCACATGTGCTAATACACAAGGGATTATTCTTGACCCCCAAATCCATTCATCATAATAACACAAGGCTGGACAATGAGAAAACCAAAAATATCCCCTGATGGTCTCAACAAAAGCCAGCATCCCCTCCTCCCCCTCCTTCACACATATTTTTTGCTAAACATAATTTTCAACCAGTTGTGGCTTTGCTCAGGAAATTCATGCTTGGGCAAGTTACAAGAAAAAACTCACCTCACTCTTACCAGATTTACACAATGTTTTTACTTGTGGCAGCTGGCCACAGCCTGGCTGATTCTGAGTAACTAAACCTCTGGAGAGACATATTTTGTGAGCTATTGGCATGTGTTTGGCATGCCCATGTTTGTTCAGTAAGAAAAATGTAGGTGGACAACCAGGATTGTTTCCGTATCTGTCTAAAATAATTGAACTGTAAGTTGCAAATGTAAATTGCAGATTTAATCCTCTTTTTTATTAGTCTCATTTCTAATGTCAGGGATATTTACATTACAGGATGGAAAGTGAGGGGGTGGGTGGGTAGGTAATGGATGATTTATTAGGGATTCCATTTGTTGTACTAGTCCAAAACAAAGGAGGCAGAGTATACGGATAACTTGTTTTCTGTTTGTATGTAATAAAAGATGGACGCTAATATCTCCCAGCCTGATCTTTAATCACATATATTTGCTTTTCAATCTAGTTTCAAAATGGAATGTCTATAAAGGAATCCCTAAAGAGCTTACAATGAGAATCTGGCAGGAAAGATCCTTCAGATATCTGTTTGTGCCACTTGAGGACAGAAGCAACTGAGCACTGCAAATTTGCCTGTGCCATAGAGGTTGTAGAGGTTGTAGGTAATTCTCCCTCAAAATGGCTCAAAATGCCTATCTGCTTTGCCTCATTCCTTCCTTGTTTCGCTCACCACTCCTGCCTCCCGGAAGGATTCCTGCTGGTCTCTGGAAATGCTTTGTTCATTGAAGTGTGGGAAAAGGCTTCCTGTCCCTTCTGATGAGAGGTTCAAAGGATTCAAGTTACCACTCACAAGAATTCCCCTTGGGGACTTGCACTCCCACTCACTCTCCTCCCCAACCACCCCAGCAGCACGCAGGGCCAGCAGGAAGCCCATCTGCCCCTTCTCTGGGGCACTGAGGCTCAGTGGGGGCCCAAAGCTGCCTGCCCAGTGCCACCATGGGGGTCACACACCCTCCTGATGCAGTGTCAGCCAGCCCTTCTCCCTGGCTGCAGCTTTCCCAGCATTCCAGGGAACAGCAAACTTCTCTGTTTCAGTTACTTTTGCTGGTTCCCCTCCTGGCCCCAGCAATACCCACTGCTCCCCACCTTCCTTGCTACCCCTGCTGCAGAGGCCTGTTCCCCTGCCACTGCCACTCCCTGAGAGCATCCTATGCAGACTGTGCAAGTGGATGTTACTATGGAAACATTTACGTCCTCCCGGTCTTTGCTGTACTTGCTAACAGCATTCAGAATGTTTGTCTCCTGTATACTTGCTGGTGGAGGAAGAAAGCCTCTTTTCCTTTGCAATGTTTACTTAAAAAAAAAAAAAAAAAGGAAAGAAATAATTTAAGAACATACATTGACCTTCCATCTTAATGGAGGAGGAAGAATGGAGGAGTATTAGTTTTCCACCTCCTGGTGATGCTGTTTGGCCGGAGGTGGCTCTCTGCCGTGCTGTATTTATCAGGGCAGTTCATCACCTCCCAGCCAGGTCTTTGGCCTCTCTCCTGCAGTGAGCTCTGCACGAGCAGCTCCTTTCCCCTGCAGCTGGCCCCCTGCTTCTGGGTCAGGATGGATCTCGCTTATCACAGGAGCTCTCCTTGCCGTGGTACGGTATCCAGGGCAGCAAAATAACATCCATGGTGCTGAAGCTGTCAACGTGACAGCAGGAGTTCACTCACCCTCACACAAATTGATCTTCCTTCAGACGCCACCTTTTTGTGCTGTAAATTAAATTTTCTTCAGAGCTGCCAGACTTCTCTCCTCTGTCTCTGAGCCACAAATATATTCTGTCATACTGGAATGGAACTCTTGTTAGATATTTTTGAGCTAGTAGTTCTCTGCTTCAAAAATACTTGTAATTTTTTTTTGTGCAGAAATTCACAATTTACCTCGGTCAAAAACTCTAGCCAGAGTGGAGACATCTCTGGCACAATATGTGCAAAAGCACAAACATAATTTGTAAAGGAATTGGGGATGTAGCTCATGAAATTATGTAACAACAGTAATTCTGCAGTCTTGCAGGAAAAATATGCTTTTCTCTAAATGTCTGGCTTCTTATTACTTGATTTCACTTTCTGGATTGGGCATTGTTACAAAGGATCTGTCTAGAACCAGTAATGCAGTCAAATTTCAACATTATTTCACACACAAAATAGAGCTAGGCAACAGGCAGATCTGGGCTAAGTACCTCATTGCATATTTTATTTTTGCTTACGTGATTCTTGCGCACACATACCCAGAGTCCTTTCAGAGAAATCTATAATTATCTTTTCATGATGAAGGATTGGGTGTGTATAGCAGTTCTGTTTATTTAGCTACGATTATGGTCATACAATCACCCTTTTCGCTTAAAGGAGGGGAAAACAGGCACAGGAGGGGATCTGAGAGTTCTCCCTTAGCCAGTGAGGGCACAGAGGTGCTGTCCACCGAGCTAATCACCCACCTGGCTTCTTTAAAAGCTGACGAATCCTCTCAATTTTGCTTTGAAGCAAGATCTGCCTCCTCTGTAGTGTATTTATCAGAGCAGTCATCTTAGATCAGTCGATTGCTACTGTGGTGGTTTTTTGAAAATTATATTTTTGAAAAATACAATTTTTCTTTGCCTCCTCCATTTTAATGAGTCATTACAAAATACGTGCTTGCTTCTACACACACACACTAACACACACACACAACTCAGAAAAAATAGAAAGAAAAAAAACCAAACCCCCCAAAACTCCCGCCCCACCCCCCCCAAATAAAATAGTAACAAACCAACATGAAGGGAAAACTGATTTTTTTTCGTTCATCAGCTAGCGTTCACTTTACAGATGTGGAGTGACATACTCTGTTTGTAGCAATGATGGTAACATCAGACTGCTAAAAGTAGAAACTGTGTCACATCACATCCTCGCCAATTATCAGTCAAGCTGTTTAAGAGGTTCCAGGCAGCTAGATCTGAGCAAATGGGGCTATGGCTTTACACAAATACTATGGAGGCCGTAACTAGAAAATAGTGGAGCCTTTTGTAGAAGTAGCTGAGAGCAAACTGACCCACAGGACAATGATGTCTGAACAAATGAGGACCCACCAGAGCTAATGGTGCTGTGAAGCTGGCAATGTGGAAAACCAACCTTTTGAAGCCGGATAACTGTGACAGGAAGGACAAAGAACCTCCCAGCTCACCAGAGCTGGCCAATGCTTGTCTGACCAGAGTGAAATGATGATGGAGGAACTGAAACCAGTGGAAAAGTATTGACTCCTGTGAGTTTCCTTGCTGGCTGTGAGCTTTCTCAGAGAGGGCCAAGCCAGCTGGTGGAACCCTTAAGCAGGAATAGGGTGTGGGAAGAGATCTGACTTCCTTTCCTAGCAGTAAGTTGATTTGGATCAGATAAAACATAACATGAAACTGCACTTTAAAAACTATCCAAGGTGACACTGCCCTTTGCAGCTGCGAGGCTCTGTGGGTGATCCATTAAATGCTCACACCACTCAGAGTAACATCTGCACAGAGAACAGAGAATCTACTGCATCAGCATGAAACTGCATGGTGGGAGAGGACGTTCTCATTTCTCAGCTGGGGAATAACAACTCCATTTTCAGCCCTTGCATGGGTTGAAGGCACTAATTAGACTGGTGGTCTCGGCTGCCCGGCTCTCCAGCCAAGAACCTCTGTGGGTCGGTGCGGCGCCATGGCCGCGGTAAGGACGGCAGGCCGCGAGCAGACTCCCCCCCACACACAGCGCTGGAGCAGCTGTAATCTAGGCACTGCATGTGTGGGGCGGGCGGGCAGGCAGGCAGGCAGGCAGGCAGGGAGGGAGAGAAGGCAGCGCGGCCCTGGGCTGACGCGTTATCTGAAGGAGCAGAAGGCCACGGCGGACTGCCGCCGCCTCAGCGCGTTCTGCACGCCATTGCCACCGCCGCCAGCGCCCGCCTGACCTCGGCGGGGCTCTGTGGAGAGAACAAAAGGAGCCGTTGGAAATGCAGGTGGGGAGCACACGCTGCTTCGAAAGGGGCATGTCAGAGAAGACGCACGGCTGTGAGGACAAAACCACTTCCCTGCCCAACTGCTCCTTCCCGCCCCATTTCAATCCCGCTCCCCTCCCCGCCCGGCCCGGCCCGCCGCCATTCCTCTGCCCAGCTGCCCCTTCTCCTCCCCCCTCCCCTCAGCGTTGGTCTCCTCCGTGCCCTGGCCAATGACAGCTCACGGTGCCGGTGAACGAGTCGCCCGAAGCCAATGAGCGCCGCCCTTCCCACGTGGACAGGCGCGTGACACCGCCCTCGCGAGCGCCGCGTCCTTGTTGGCGGGTGAAACCTTCCGCAACGCTCCCCGCGGGGGGGGGGAGCGTCCTGAGCCGCTCCGGTCACGTGGGGTGGCCGCGCCCGCCGGAGGGGCGGCCGCGGCGGATGTACACCATATAGTCCCTCCGTAGCTGTGCACCATAGAGTCCCTCCGTGGCTGCTCTGTCCTGGAGCCGTGGTTTTATGTCGGCGGCTCCTGCGTTTAACCCGTAGCAGAACGACAGGAGAGAAGCCTAGAAAGACAGGTCACAGGCCGATAGGCGCTGGAGAGAGGCAGGTGACGCTTGGCGGAAGGACACCTCGCTAACGCATCTGGTCTGCCTCAAGGCGGCTCGTATATAAGGGCTGCGCGCAGGTGGTGCTACCTCATTGTGTGCCTGACGCCGAGAATTGAGGTTGTGTCGCAGTGCGTGTGCGGAACGCCTCCCCGCGCGGCGCGGACCCGAGCAGCCCCCCTCCCCTCGCCGCCATGGCTCTTTAAGGCGGCAGGGCCAGCGGCGGCATCGGCCAGTGCAGCAGGCGCAGCAGCAGCGGCGGCGGCCCCAGCACATCCCCGGCATCTGCAACCATGGCGTGAGTATTGTGTGTGAGGGATGGCTGCTCCCTCTCCTCTGTGTTCATAGTCACCTTCTTACCCCCTTTAAGTGGGCTTCTGGGGCGGGTTTATTATCTCTGTGGTAATCGGTGGTATCTCACGGGGGGCGGGGGGAGATAACCTAGTTATACCAAAATAATATATAAAACACTTGTGTATACCAAAATGGGTACGGGGAGAAGGGATCTTTGTGGGGCTCAACATCCCGAGGGCGGCGGGTGTCAGAAATGGCAGGAAATGCCACTTCGGAATAAGTTACGAGGAACGTCCGTATCTCCTTTCGTTCAAGAAACCTCGATTCCAAAATGCTTAACTTATTTTTATTCATGGGCGCTTCGTGGAAAAAAACCAAACAAAAGCAGTTTTCTTCTCGCCTGCAAGGGGAAATGCTGTACGTAGTGGAAAATGGGCCACTGGAGGTACTGGGGTTTTGAATACCAGTACCGCTCTGGTTTATAGTCAGGAGTAGATAAACGAGGGCTGTTACCAAGCTGGCAGCAGTGCTAATATAAAATAACGAAGTACTGTAGCCTTGAGCCTGCCCTGGGCGCGAATGAGCCCTGTGAAGGGTGGGCGGCTGGCTGCGGTCGGTGCCGGAACCGCGGTGGAAACGTGGCACGGCACAAAATGGCGGCGAGCTCGCGAAATGGCGGCGGGTGGGCGGGGCCCGTCCCTGTCCGGGCATGAGGGAGGCGGGGGACGCGCAGCTGGAGCCCTTGCCCGGCTTTATTCGGTCTGCGGCACGGGAAGTACCACCGTGTATCCCAAGTGTCACAGATTTAAAGGGCTACTATGTTGGTCAAACCCGGTACTGATGAGTTTAAGTTCTGTTGGCAGGTTTTTCACGGCATCGCACAGCAGCATTGCTGTAGTCGACGAAAAGACCCTCTACTTGACCACATCCTTTGACGTCAAAGCATTAAAAACTGACGAAGATGAGCTTCTTGAACAACGAGATGCTGTTGGGGGATTCAATATCCCCCTTCAGCCAGCCGTGTTCGGTGGCTGAGGAAAGTCTGGGACTCCTAGATGACTACCTGGAGGTGGCCGAGCCCCTCGGTTCGCATGGGTTCTCCAGCGACAAGGCTAAGGCAGTCTCCTCCAATTGGCTTGCTGTGGACAGTTTAGGCAACACCATAGATAGCAGCCAGGGTAAGTTATTATTTACTTGCACAAAGTGCATCAGTTATAGTGGTATATAATAGTTTAATAACGTTCACGTTAAAAATAAGTTGCTAGGTTTTCATAAATGTGAAGGCAACCTCACATGCATTACCTCCGCTTGAAAAGTGTGTGCACTGTGCTTCTTACACAATATAGAATTGCTGGTTATGGTGAAGTGACACTTGTGTTGCCTTTTTAGTAACATACCAGTTGCTAATGGTACTGTTTCCTGGCAGAGGTCACAAGAAAAAAGCATGGTTGTGTGTTTCAGACGTCCCTGAATTCTTCTGGTCTTTGAGTAAGAAGGTTGGAATGTCGCAACAGCTGACTTCTTACATTGTACCCTGCAGTCTTTGACTGCTCAGTGGCAGGGTATTTTCTCTGATGGTGTATTCTTCTCATACCAATATAAGAGAAGATGCTAAATAATTATGAGCTGCTAGATGATTTTCAAAAGCTTGAGTTGTGTTGGTTGATGGTTTACTTGACGTGGTTATTGTTCCGTTGTGCAGAGGATGCCTTCTCTGGCATGGAGTGGATGGTGGAGAAGATGGATCTGAAGGAATTTGATTTCGATGCCCTGTTAGGTATGGAACATCTGGAAGCCACCGTCTCACCAGACGAGCTGATTGCCACGTTGGAAGACACGTGTGATCTCCTATTTAATGCTACCATCCAGGAATTTCGCAACAAAGAACTTCCACTGATAAACGACCTAATCAACCATGTCCCCGAATCTCCAATTGCAGCAGATCCAATGGCCCCATTGGCTTCTGCTTCCCTTTGGTCTTTTCCCCTCTCCCCAGGGTCTCTGACTTCCACTCCAGACCACTCATTTAGTTTAGAACTAGGGAGTGAAGTGGATGTTCTGGAAGGAGAAAGAAAGCAGGAGTGCCCTGCTGTTGTGGTAGTGATCACCAAGTCTGAGAAAGAGGAGGAGAACCATTCTGATGATAGTGGAATATGCATGAGCCCAGACTCCTACCTGGGAACCCCCCAACATAGCCCCACCGATTCAGTCAGATCCCCCAATGGCAACCAGTTGCCTACAGATGCCAGCTGTGGCTCTGTGCGGTCCAAACCTTACGATCATCCTTCAGAGAAGGTAGTGTCAGCAAAGGTGAAAGGAGAAAAGAAAATAGATAAGAAACTGAAAAAGATGGAGCAGAATAAGACTGCTGCCACACGTTACCGGCAGAAAAAGAGGGCAGAACAGGAGGCACTGTCTGGGGAGTGCAGAGAGTTGGAGCAGAAGAACCAGGCTCTGAAGGAGAAAGCAGATTCCCTTAGTAAGGAAATTCAGTACTTGAAAGATCTGATAGAAGAGGTCCGCAAGGCCAAGGGCAAAAGAGGTAGGGTCCCTGAGTAGTCAGCAGTGTTGATGTGCATGTATATAAGCTTAATGCTAAAGCTGTGTATTGCTGTCTAATAAATAATTTTGTAGTAAATGTGCAATTATGTGAGATTAATGGGTACATGTAAAACAAGATTTGCGCCACACCTGGGTGCAAGTACAAGCACAGTCATCTCTTGGGTGTCTAGCAGTGAAGGTGGAATGGCACCCCTGCTGCTTGTTCTGCTGGGCAGTGGATGCAGTGCAAGTGCACAAAGTGGTTTG